GACTTCTGTAGCAGCTTGGCGCGGTCGTAGATGACCATAGTTGTATCAAGTAGACTGCATATGAGAATTGAAAAATATGAAATTAGAGATAGTATTAACTAATTAAGGGACTGTCTCAACCAGTTGTTTGGTTGGGAGCAGTTGGTCGGGGAGACCAGCACACTTCGCTTTCTCCCCGCCAGCCTCAAGACTCTCTTCCTCCTTCTCTTCCACCTTCAAGGGGCAGTTTGATATACTGGTAGCACTTGTTGGTCAAGCCTCGACGACCATGGCCCCCGCGACTCGCAAGAATGACCAAGGTGCGCCACCTCCGGGAGGAGAGCGACAAGCGGAGCTGGAAGCGCAGCTTGTACAACTACGCTCTGAGATCGCAGCTCTCCAAGCAAACAAATCAAGCGTGACGCCAGCAGGCGACGGAGTCCAGTCGTCGCGTTCCGAGCGGCCTGCCGAAGTTCAAGGGGAAGCGCGACGAGGACGTGCGCCAGTGGCTCTTTCAGGGATACACTGTGCCGGATCAACGGTCATTACGCAGCAGGCGACAAACAGACGCTACCTTCGATCGCTGGTTCAGAAATGGATGAACCTGCATCAGGATGGCTTCTATTCTGGGCCTCCAGAACACCTGCGGACGAGCAGGCATGGCGCCGGTTTACGGATGATGCCCTCAGCCACTTGGAAGTCTCCAACTACCAAGCCGTGCTACGACAGAAGCTTCGCCAACTCCGCCAGGTTAATGACATCGAGGAGTACATCGGCAAGTACTCGTCGTTGATCTTCCGCGTTGAGGACATGAGCGAAGTCGACCAAGTCAGATACTACTGTGACGATCTCAAGCGCGCGACACAAGCCTACGTCAAGCTTCAGAATGCGATGACGCTGAGTGAGGCAATGGACCAAACTACCAAGTATGAGATGTCTCATTTCGGTGGTGAACACAAGGCAACTCGTGAGAAACCGAGGCGTGAGCAACAGTACTGTGGACGGACGAGCCCAGCCAGTCCAGCGACAAGAAGCCGTTCAGCAAGAAGTCCTTCAAGCCGGGTCGCTACGCCCCCGCGGAACAGACCAAGGAAGGCTTGTGTGCTACTATTGCAAGAAGCCTGGACACTTCAAGCGTGACTGCAAGAAGCTGAAGAGTGATGAGAGAAACGACCAGCCACGCCAGTAGAAGTGGGACCTGACGTGGCGAAGGCTAGTGAAGGAAATTTAACCGTAAACGAGGATACGTTGAATCTACTTTGGGAAGACCTTCTCGTCTACAACTGTGCACCGTTGTTTTCGATTGAATGATCAATGGTACAGGGTGGAAACAAATTCGGTACCAAGTTTCTGTTGGACTGCGGTGTCACAACCATCTACGTATCGCGTGGATTTGTCAAGCGGAATGCATTGAAGACTCACCTTTACACTAATCGGGCTATCAAGGTGAAGATCGGTGACAACAAGATTAGCGAGGCTATCCTCGAGTTAGTGAAGATTGAGATCGACTCCAAGGTGCACCGAGTTATCAGTGTGTGACAGTTGTCTTCGACATTCCTGATGAGTTTGATTGCGTACTCGGAATGCCATTCGTTGTGGATGTACATCCTGATATCGACTGGAAGAATCGACGCTTCAAGGAATATGTCTCAGATGAAGCCTCAACGACGAACATTTTGACTCCCGGTGGGAAGCGCAGTCCGGCTAATGGCTATGGGCTTCACGTTGCTGTGAATTGCGAAAGCTCTTCCACGATAGACCGTGATTCCTGTCGAGCCGCCGTGACAGAAACACGGGTGGAGGGCGAAGTGGAAAGCGTTG